GGGCGGGGGGGGGGGGGGGGGGGGGGGGGGGGGGTGAGCAAGGGCAGCCCGGGCGTCCTGGCCCTACCTGAGGTGGTGAACTGCTTCCCGCACTCCCGGCACTTGAGGGGCCCGTCCGCGATGTGGATCTTCAGGTGGGCCTTCAGGTTCCCCACCTGCGCCCAGGCAGGGGTCAGAGGGGCCGCCCCTCCCGCCGGCCAACAAGGGGCGCTCGACCCTCTCCCGGGCCCATGGACGGCCCCGTCTCTCCTCGAGACGCGTGGATCGTTCCAGATCCCGGAGGTGCGAAGGGAAATCCGCCCTGGTTCTTGGCGGCGCTAAGCCCCCTCCCCGCCCCTCCACCCCCAGGCTCCCCAGCAGAGCGCTCCGAGCCCCGGGTCTGCGCGCCCGCCCCCTCCGCCGGCCCGCACCTGGTTGAACTTCTTGTCACAGTGCGGGCACTTGTGCTCCTTGTCGGTGTCGTGGGTCTCCAGGTGGCGCATCTTGGAAGTGGGGTCGGAGAAGGAGCGGCCGCAGTAGTCGCACTGGTAGGGCTTCTCGCCGCTGTGCACCAGCTGGTGGCGCTTCAGGTTGCCGGACGTGGTGAAGAGCTTGCCGCAGTCCCCGCAGCGGTAGCGCGCCTCGCCCGAGTGCCGCTTCTTGTGCAGGTTCAGCAGGCTGATGAGCCGGTAGCTCTTGCCGCACTCCTCGCAGCCGTACGGCTTCAGCGGGCTGGAGGGCACAGGGCGCGGGGAGACGGGGGGCACAGGGCGCGGGGAGACGGGGGGCACAGGGCGCGGGGAGACGGGGGGCACAGGGCGCGGGGAGACGGGGGGCACAGGGCGCGGGGAGACGGGGGGCACAGGGCGCGGGGAGACGGGGGGCACAGGGCGCGGGGAGACGGGGGGCACAGGGCGCGGGGAGACGGAGCGCTCGCCGGGCTCCGGGGGAGGGGGCGGGGGAGGGGGCGGGGGCGGGGGAGGGGGCGGGGGCGGGGGCGGGGCTGGCTTACCTGTGCGTCTTCTCGTGGGCCTTGCAGGCGGCTGGGTCCGAGAAGGCCTTGCTGCACTCCCGGCACGAGAAGGGCTTCTCGCCCGTGTGGATGCGGATGTGCCGCTTGAAGTTGCCCGTGTGCGTGAACTCCTTCCCGCAGTCCTGCGGGGCGCGGCGGGGAGCGGGCGTCAGGGACCGCGGGGCCGGGGGCGGGGCCGGGGGGACGCGGCAGCGCGCGGGGAGGGCCGCACCTCGCACTTGTGGATGACCGAGCCATAGGCCTTGGACTCGGTGCGGTCGCCGTAGGTGCCCGAGCGCGGGCCCCGGGCGTCGGCGCCCAGCTCCTGGCCCGAGTCCGTGCTGGCCGACTCCTCGCTCTCCTCGGGGGCCTCCCCCTTCTCCAGCGGCGCCCCCTCCTCCTTGACCTCTGCGGCCACCGCGCCTTCATCCTCGCGCTCTTCTCCTTTCCTGGCGGGCTCCACCTCCATGTCTGCCGCGAGAAGGGTGGGCACTGAGGCGCTCGGAGGCCAGGAAGGGGCCTCAGAGCCGCCAAAGGACGAGGGCTCGTCTCCGCAGCCCTGTGGACGCGGGTCCCCCACGGGGCGGCACTGGGTGGCCGCTGCCAGGGAGAGGGGCAGAGGACACGGCCGCTGCTGGGAGGGGGGTCCTGGGCCTCCACCCCCCGGGGAAGCCAGACTGGCCGCCAGTGGGCGCGGGGGGGGGGCCGCAGGGAGGGCGCAACCGAGAGACAGAGGTCAGGAGTGAACGGCACGCTGTCCTCGGCCGAAGCCAAAGCGTGAGGCAGAGCGGGAGCGGCCAGGGAAGGGGGGTGCTGGGGGGAAGGAGCCCCGGGGACGCAGGAGTGCCGGCCGCTCGGCCGGTGGCAGGGCACCTTGCTCCGAGCTCTCCGACAAGGCGGCCTCAGCCTCCGCGGCAGCCATGCTGCTTGTGGGGTCGGGCTTGGGCTCCACGGAGGGCGGCTCCCGGGGGGCGTCGGCCTTCTCCGTCTGCTCGGCACCTGCATGTGGTGTGGGAACCCCGGAGGCTGCGTGAGGACCCTCCCTCCAGTGGCCAGATGCTGCTCCTGGCCCAGGAGCCCCACCCCCCACCCCGCCCCAGGAGTGGCCATGGCCCGATGTGAGAGGCCCAGCACGTCCAAACTCAGGCTACTTGTGCCCGTGCTCTGGCCGTCACAGGTGCCCCGGGGCGAACGGAGCCTCCCCTCCAGGAGGCCGCTCACTGCTCCAGGGACCAGGCTGCTTGGGAGGGGACGGAACAGCCAATTGAGTCCTCGGCATCACGACTCACCGCTGGCCGTGCTCTCGGCCTGGCCGCCCCGCTCCTCCTTGGGCTCCCTGTCTGGGCCGGTGGCTGGACCGCTGCCGGCGGGGCCCAGCTCCCTCAGCCCGGCAGCCACCGCCACCTCCTCTTTGGCTCTCCTGTCTCCTGCTGGAGAGGGAACAGGACAGTCCTACCACGTCCGTGCAGGGGTGAGGTGGCCCAGAACTGGCTGGCCCTTCCAGGTCCTCGCTGGGGATGTGGCTACACAGTGGTTGACCAGGCTGTTCACCGGGCACCCACTCCATGCCAGGCCACGGCTGCCGCATGGGTCAGACAGCAGGCCTCACACGCTAAACGATGGTGCACATCCAAGCTTAGTGCTCGGGAGGGGAGTGGGGCTCTTCCGTAAGGGGACAGCGAGCGTCTGGCCCACCCCTGGCGTCAGGAGCAAGGGCACGAGCAGGGAGAGCTGCAGGAGGAGCGACCCCGCGGGCAGGGGCCCGGGCCGAGCACCCCCAGCTCCCTGGGGCAACAGAGCTCACAGGAAGTGGGTGAAAGGTGGGGGAGGGGTAGGCAAAGGACAAGCCCCTCAGAAGGCCTTCCTGAGACTGGCACCCTGCGCCGCAGGCAGAGCCGGGCGAGGGTGTCAAGGCCCGGACGGAGGACACAGAGAGTCAGAGGCAGCACCCCACCCAAAGCCCCACGTTCAGGAACGGCCTGACAGTAATCTCACCTTCCGGGGCCGAGGCCACCGCATTCTCCCCCGGGCTGGCGGCCGGCTCAGCAAGGGACTTGAGGGCGTGGCAGGCCGTGATGATGTCCTGCATCTGCAGGAAGCTGGCCACGGCCAGCACATCATCCACGTTCTCGGAGCTGAGGCTCAGCTTGGCCGTGTACATAAACTCCAGCACCTGCCTGAGGCCTGGCAAGGACACAGACCGCACTCGCAGGCCTCCCGAGGCCCGGCCCCCGCAGCCGCCTCAGCTACTCCACCCGGCGGCGGCAGGGTCCAGGGATCTGTGAAAAGCACAGCGGCGGGCCACCATCTCCCCATCTCCCATGCTGGCGGGCAGGGGGATGGCCTGGGGGTTCTCAGCCCAGACGGTGGCCTCTGAGATAAAGCACCCTGCAGAGGGCAGGGCCTGGGACGGCCGCCCTGCACGGGGGACAGCAGGTGTGAACGCCCACCCTGCACCAAGGACGGAGGGTGTGAACAGAGGACTGAGAGGAAAACCACCTGCCCTGCACGGAGGACCCAGATGTAAGCCTCTACCCTGCGCAGAGGACAGCAGTGTGAACACCCCCCCCGACCCCCAGCAGCCAGCCACCACACCCTACCAGTGGAGGGCGCCCCAACATGGGTGTGTCAACCATGGCTTTCCTTGGGTTCCTGCCACAGAGTTGTGTGACCTCCAGGCCAGTCACCTGACCTTTCTGGGCCTCAGTTTCCATATGTGTAAAATGGGGGAACACTACCTTGCCCTGACCTCCTCATGGCGTGTCACACCATTCTGGATCAGGAACCAAATCTAGGACCAGCCTCCTTCCTCGATTGCAAGGCTTCCCGATGGCCCTCCCCTGGCCCCATGTCCATCGTGGTTAGCACGGGGCAAGAGGTTCAAGACGGACCCAGCAACGGGAAGGGGTCCAGGGCTTAGAGCCCCCCTGTTCTGCCCCTCCTGCCGAGCCTGCCCAGTGCACTCTGGCTGAGAGCGAATCCTGAGCTGAAATCCGTCAGTTCTCTTCCCACCCAGCTCCCCATCAAGAAGGTGAAAGAAACTTGGTGCCCACATGCTCAGGGCAGGAGTCCCGTGTGGGCAGCCTGGGGCACCTCACGGCTCGAAGGCGTCCTCCAGGAGGGCCTTGCATGGCGCAGAGCCGGCCACGGCCCCTGACCCTCAACAAGCCTGGCCCTGGACCCAACGGGGTACCTGCCGCGTTACTGATGTCCAGCTGCACCACATCCTTCTGGTCCACGAAGAGCATCTTGAAGTACTCGCTGCAGGCCGCCAGCACCGCTTTGTGGGCCTTGAAGTCAACACCGTCCACCACGAAAGTGCAGTCACAAAGGAGCCCCAGCTGCCGCTGCTGGTTTAGCTGCTCCAGGACGTGCTGGCTGTGCTGGGGAAAGTCCATGGCTGGGGGGGGACACAGGGCCTTTGCGTTAGCACACGGGGGGGGGGGCGGCCAGACTGACACTCGTTCCCCCCCCCCAATTCCCAGGTGAGAAACACACGGGGGACAGGGAGAAGTCGAACACACCACAAGGGGGGAAATCACTCCAGATTCCCTCTGCGAACTAGGCCCCTGGAGCCCTGGGTTCGCTGGCCAGCAAAGTTCCCCAAACCAAAAGCACGGAGGGACCAACACAGAACAGCCACCTTTGTGTCCTGCCAGGTCACACATGAAAAAACCAACAAACACTTATTATGGGAGCATTTAAGAAAAAGACACGGTCAGTTTGACGGTTTTCATGGAAAGAACACATGACGTCATTTTAGAAAAAAGGATCTAAGACCCCATATGTTTGGCTCTATGAAAACCTTACTTCTCCCATTCTGCCCCGCACAGGTGACAGATGTTTCGTCACCTGGCATTTCAGGAATGGACTCTCTCCTGCTGCACCCACAGGGCTCGGGCAAAGTCCAGGAGAACAGGATCTCTCTCTCTCTCTCTCTCTCTCTGATTCACAGGCACAGGAAACTACATAAAGTCCTCGGCCCCCAGAAGCCTCTCCTGGCCATCCCCGGAGGAGGAAGGAGCTCTGGTCCTGACCCCCAGAGCTGCTCGCCTGGCTGCAGGTTCTGTCAAAGGCCTCACACAAAGGCCTGGAAATCCCGTCAACGGTCTCAAGTGAAAATGCTCAGGAAAATTCCATGGCCCGGGGCCGAATCATCACACACTACCACCAGCCATGACTAAATAAGTATCTGACACAGCTCTCTCCTCCCCAGCAGCACCACTTAGGTCTCAACTTCACAGGGCAGGCAGCAGGCCCTTGGTTCAAGAAAGACCCAGTTTCAAAATAAAAGCCAGCCCCCCCCCCCCACTCAGGGGACCGCATTCCAGAGATCCACCAGGACCAGGCCGCCTTGCCCTGGCCGGGCAGATGAGCTCCGGGTCTGCTCGAGCTGCCCCGGGCTGTTGCTGGGCAGGTGAGACTGACAATTTGGGGCTCCCAGCCCCTGGGGTGCAGCAGCCCCCCTCACTGGCGTTACATCAGCCTCCCAGGGCTGAGTCATGGGGCCGCCGCAGTGACCATGTACGGTGGTCTGGCCACTGGCCTCCAGGAACCACAAGGAAAGCCACGCCCCCCCCCCCCCCCCCCCCCCCCCCCCCCCC